TCGTATGTTCTCTTAATCAATTAGTACTATATGTTATAGTAGAACTAAAATCTAAGTGTTAATTTAATAGTATTTTTTAATAGCTATATATTAACAAGATGACCAAGATATAGAAAAATCTTACATACGAAATATTTTAACAACAATCAATTATTTCTTTATAAATGAATATTAGATGAAAAAGAAAAGAGAAGCAAAAATGCAAATGACTAGTTGATATGCTTTATTTTCATTAAAGATGATTTATTTCATTAGGATTTTCTGAAACTATAAAAAAGAAACCAATGAATAATACGATTAGAATCGATAAACAAAACAAAAAAGAATATTTCATTTTACCTAATTATTGTATTGTTAATTGATTAATAATTGCCGTTGATATTATTGTATTATCATTATTTGTATTGATAGATGAGATTGTTTCTATATATATATATATATATAATTTCGGTTGACCAATACATACATGATTTTTAATATGTTTTCGTTTTATTGATAATGTTGATTATGATGGAGATTGTTTACATTTTACGCCAACATGAATGATCTAATTTTATTGATGAAATTTTATCTTAACTAATTGATGATGAACGTCTAGATTTTTCTAAAGGTTTTCTAGTTCTATTATGAAACTCATCAAACATAATTCGAACATGACCTAAAAATAAAATAATAATTATTATAATAAATTAAACAAAAACCCGAATAATTGTGTTTCTTTTTGTTTGATTGTTAAAAGTTGATTCTGTCATTGATAAAATGTATTAGATGCAAAATAAAAATAGATTATTAAAATATTAAATGAACAGAATAAAAAGAAAAGAAAAAACTAATGAGATATAATAAATCTAAATTATATATATATATATACATGATATGAACTCAAATTATTGATATAAAAAAGCAAATAAATAAATAAATCCTATTCTCTCAAGATATCTTAATATAAAAAAAAATTCTATGATAGTGTGAGAGAAATCATTTTATAATGATATTATTATGTATTAAAGGTTCTTCATCATCAATTTTATTTATAATATCTCCACTTGATAGAAAATAGAGAATCTTTTCTAAGATTTTTATGCTATTCTTTAAACTTATTATCATTATAAATATTGATTTCAAAAGAACAAAACAAGAATTAGAAAAATCATAATTAAATTGAAATACGTGCAAGTTAATTATTCGTAGTCGAGTTAAATTAGGTATTGTTGGTGTAGTATAACTTGTATATATATATATATGTCAGATGAAGTAGTTTGAGAATTCAATACATCTGAATATATTGGTTTTGTTGAATTTAATGGAAGTGTATTATTTTGTGAATATGATATTTATGTTAAAGATTATGTTGAAACATTAGAAAGAGTTTATGATGGATCATAATCAATAGCTGAACGATTACATAAAAAATTATGTTCACGACATATTGATACTAAGTGATAAAAATCTATAGAGAATATCATTTAAAAAATATTTAATTAAAATAAAAATAAAACAAACTTATTGAACTCCTAATTAAATCTGAATAAGTACTTAGTTGATGAAAGTGTAATGGTACCATTAAGTACTACATGTATAAGTCAATGTCTAAAATATTCACAACGTTTTTGTATTTTTGATGTTTATTAATAAAGAGATTCTTGATTATTAGTTGACATGATTAATAATTTCTAATTCACGTTGATGTAATTCATGTTCCAGTTGTTCTAATCTGATAGATTGATGATAATGTTGTACGATTAATTGAAGTATTGCTTGTTCACGATTATGAATTTCCTTAAAATATGAAAAAAAAATTAAAGAACGAGAGAGATCAATCAAAAAAGTTATCTGGATAGCGAAAAGCAAATTCTAACCTTTCAAAAATTTTATTATAAGACAATAATGTCACGTGACTAAACAATAAAATATGTGTTTTGATTCTATTCATTTTTCGACTCATCTATCAGAGGAATTAGACCGAAAAAACAAATTACGTAAGTCAACTTATTTTTTTAATGATCATTTAGAATATTCACTCAAATAAAAGCTAAAAATTAGATTTCAAAAATAGTAGACTAGGGACTTTTTTTAAAGTGACCTAATTCCTGTTTGACCATAGAAAATAGTTCATTTTATAATACTTCACAAATTCTATCAATTACCAATTTAAATCAATATAAGGATTAAAATGTATTATTATCTTCCTCTCATCTTATATACTTATGTTTTTTTCTTTTTGCTTTTTCTTTAGTTTTTAATTCTTCAAAAATATCTTGAATTTCTTTACTCCAATCTTGTTGTAATGGTGAATATATAGACATTCAAGTTCATATTGAACAGCATTCAATGCTTCTAATTGATTGATTTAAATCAATTCATTTATTAAACGGCATGACATTTTATATGATAATAATGATAATAAATATTATTTAAGGCGACCAATCTTTCGAATAGAAATCTGAAACAAACTCCTCAAAGCACTACAATCAACAATTGGTTAATAAAAACAAAGAGGAAGTTATTTTTTTAATCAAAATAACTTCTCATATAAAAATCTCATTAATCTGTCAAAGTTAAATAAATGTTCTGAATTAATCTGTATTATTTTACCTAGAAGATAAATATGAATCAAACACAAAATCAAGTCAAAAATATTAATGTTGTTTTTCTTCGAAGATGTCAATATAGATGTCTCACTAAACCATAAAGTTGTTCCGATCGAAACGTCTAATTTAATAACGACAAGTATTACATAAACATAGAGAACAATTATGATTAATCACTTTGCAATTGAATAGAACTGCAGATCCTTTAGATTGTTGTTATGTTCCCTATTTTCGACATCGACTATTAATGATCGAAGTAATTTATCAAAATTTGTTTGTTATATCATAAAGTCGTTCTAGTAGTAAAATAGAAGAAGAAAGTACTCTCTCACCTTAGAATAAAAAATCCTCCCATACTAGAAGACCCATCCACAGTGTATGATGTGTCGGACGTAATTGAAGACCTTCCTCATTAGTCTTGGGTGATCTTGGTGAAACTGTTGATAATCATAAAAAAAACCTGGATCATCTGGGACAATCCTGGAAAAGTTTTTGACTGGAGTCCATTGAAAAATGCGTATCATAATAGAAGATCCGGGGTCTTTTGTTATGGAGGGGGATTCAATGAAATTAATACTATTCACATAATATTTTAATACATTAATTAATCAAGTTAATTAATAAATATCAATGGAATGAGATCGATATATAAAACAAAAAAAAATAAATAAAGAAATTATGTTGACTAAAATAAAATTGAAAATCTAAAGAGAGAAAGAGAAATTTCAAGAGTAAATTTAATAAGACAGAAAGAAAATTTCTTTTGAGCTCCATCTACTACTATAATAAGTGACCAAGAGGAATACAAGCAACTCTTAAATAATAACCTAACAAATAACTAAAGTATTTTTCTACTATATAATGTACCATCAAAGTGTCATGTTTTTTCCAGTAAAGCGCAAAATACAATACTTTTTTAAATCATAATTAATTACTTTTAATAGTTCGCTTTTTATTTGAAATTAAATCAAAATTTAGAATTTACGCTTGGGTATGGGTGTTCACTTCTGTTGATTCACACTCCACACTCACACCCTAGTTTTCTTTCAATTTCAAAAATTTTGTATCTATATGAAATGTTTTATTTCATCTTCGAAGTGCCATTTTAAACGGGTCGAGGGCTCGACTGCAACGTAAAACAATCGATAATCTTCATTCATGAAAATTCGATTGTTCTATTTGTCAAAAATTGGCAATCGAAATCACCTGTCAGAAGAAGTTCACACTGTGATAATTCTGTTCGTAATTTGGATGTCTGTTGAAATCTAAATTAAACTCTGAGTTACAGTGGCTTAGAATAGACCTAGAGATATTATGTTTGATTTTTTTATCGAAGGTATTTAAATAAAAAATATTTTATGTCGAAAGAGTTTGTGAGAAAAAACATGCAGAACTTTAAAAAAAAACCTAGACCGGTCGGTAAACAAGAAGTGGTCTCTATCGGACCTGACAGCTGTTTACTATTACCGGTTAAAATTCTGTGTGAGATATCATATTAAATGTTGTCTAAAACGATTGCTGAGTGTAGGTCATCGATGAAATTATACTCAGGATCAATTAAGGGGTTAGAAATATGTGTAAAGACAAAGCAATGCTTGTTATCATTTTCTAAGACGAAATTTTCAAACTAATGGTAGCAGTGTCAATCTATACTATCTTATTCCTTTTATTAAGTATTGGTTTTCAAAACGATTTGACAGACTACTCATGTGACTGCTGCTTAAAAAGATAATCACGAAGATTTAGTAATCAGCTCAAAGATTCGCAAGAATTGTGGTTGGGTGTTAATAATAATAAAGGTTTTGTTCTTCTTATTCATTGAAATTATTAAGCAACCATTTGGCTATGCTAATAAACATCGATATGTAAAACTATCTTAAAGATTTCTCTTCCGTAAACATATTACAATATTTTCGATTGCTATATGGAATGGCTAAAAAAACTAACAGGATATTATTACTATAAAATCAAATCTTGTACAACCAGAATGCGAATTACGGTTATCCCTATTTTTCGTCGTAAGTTTATCTTAAATGGCCGTTTACAGTGAAATAGGGACCGTATTTTTGTACTGGCATAAGAACTAGTAACTCATTTCATTATTTTAAATATATTGATGAATAGATTTTATCACAACGCTTTTTTGTTAAAATCTTATTTCTGTTGTGTAGTATTAACCGAAGCATCCAGAAATTAAGGTGATCAAGGCTTTAATAAAACAATATTTGGCAATTCATTTTTTAATCTTTCAAGAACGGAACAAAGAGCATGCATTCTATTGCGATCAACTAGCAGTCAAAGGTCTTTGTATATACAGTTAAATATTTATTTATTATTTTCATTAGTGTTATATAGATGATTATTTTGTTTTCTAATATTTGATATCGATGATCATGATGTATCATTAGTTCATGCAGCATATGAATGATGATTTCGACTATGATTTGTTGCATTTGCTTCAAGTTCCACATGTTGTGGATGATTACGTGATTTAAACATGTCATTTTTCCATTTCAATCGACTAATGCGAAAGAAAAAAAAGTCATAAATAAATAAAAGAAAACTCACGATTTATTCTTACCGAGATTGAAACCAAATCTAAACAAAGAAAATGCATAGATTAACAGAAAAAAAAACAAGATTTTATTACTTTAATTTGTCGTTCAGTTAATAGAAGAGTACGAGCCATTTCACTTCGTCGCAAACATGTTAAATATCTATTTATATTTATAAATAAATATAAAAATATTCTTTTCTTACTTGTTACAATGAAATTCTTTTTCTAATTCAAGTAGTTGATGACTTGTAAAAGCTGTTCGACTACGTTTATGTTCAAAATTAAATTCTATGAAGAAAAAAGAAAGAACGACTTCATAGTAATCATGAGTAAACAGAATAATGGTACAAATGTTAATCATTTCTATATGTTACATTTATTTATTTTTAATACATCATTTTTCTCAATAAACTTATAAATACCTGGTCTCATCCATGGATATTTATAATCAAGCATTGAATTTGTAATTGACTTAGAAAATGTTATTGATGATATCATATTATTAACTGATGATGAAGCATCATTTGATGTTGGAAAAAGATCATCATTGATTGATTGATATTGTTCATGATGAGATATAGCTGTTTGCATCATATTCAAATTTGAAGATGTATTCATATGTGTGGAATCTTTATTTGTTGGTGATAAGCTGGAATCAATATTCATTGTCGTTGCGATAATAGAGAGATAATTAAATAATAATAATGTCTATAAAAGAAAATTCACTCACACACGTTTGGATCAATTAATAAAAAAACGTTAAATAGGTATATTAATAAAGAAGATGAACGTATTTAAATGACAATTGAAATTATTGTTGGTATGTTGAGAAGAGAATAATTTTAATGGAACAGCCTACTAGCTCATATTTAATTCAAAGAATGATCTCATACATGCAATATGAAGAGAAAAACAATAAATGATGTGTATACACATGAATACATGTGCTCGACAGACGTCCTTGAATACGGACATGGCGAGTGATGAGGCACGACATCGGTCACAATAATATCTCTTGATAGTTTTGCTGTAGTCGTATTATCGCGAATATTTTCCAGCCATTCGCTATTCAAGAAAAGAAAAGTCTCTGTCCAATTTTTAGCGGTTATTGACCTTTATGCTTTACTTGTGTGACCTGTTCACCGAGGATTGACCTTCTCTCTTTGCTCTATCCTGTGTGATTACATCCATATAAATTGCATTTAATAAAGAAAAGACACAGTTGTGAGTGTGCAGATGACACAAAACACCATCGTGTCGAAAGCCATAGACAGTTACCATCACAATTCATCGCATAACCAATCAATATCTTTCTTTTGTTTGATAGACAATTTGTTTATTCTCTCGTTTTCTTCTCCGAAGAACGATTACTCATTTTATCATTACCCGATAAAGGTGTACATGTAGTGTCCATAGACAATTATCTTTAAAAAAAGTATTGATTCGAAACTTTTATTTTTCGTATTGAGATGTTTGAAGTATCCTTTGGTATTAAATGATGACGATAAAATTAATTAATCGAATCGTTGGTCACTTGATCTTTTGATTGGAAAAGTCCGAAGTTTTTTTCTCGCATTGATATGTAGAGATCAGATCTTTTGCATTTAAGAATGTCACGTAAGTAAAATTAAGAAGATCTTAAAATTGTTATGTTTTGACACCTAACTTTGTTTTATTGAATTATAAATTAGAGGCATATGTGCTTAGCATTAGCATTGCATTAAATGATACTAATTGTAATATTCTTGTATTAGAATTAAAAAAGTAATCTAATGGTTTTACTTTATGCTTTGGCATTAGTATAAGTTACGATTAGCATAATGCAAATAACTATCACAATTTTGTAAGCATTTTGCAGATGTATCAGTTCAGTTGCAATATTAGGGTCAGTCTACTCGAATTCTTCTTGTAGTATATATATATATATATATATATATTAGAAACAAAATTGTATCGAAATGAAGCAGCTCCGAATGGGCCGAGCCGGATCTATGAAAGTTGGACCATGCAAATTGGATCCATAGTGAATACAACTACCTAATCTTGGTATGATTATTAAACTCTAACCATCACCTATTTGACAGAAATAACATAATTGTATACAATGTTCAATTAAGCTGCTAAGACATACATCAAATTAATAAATCATATGGACTTCTATAGAATTATATTATTTGATCAATAAATCATGGTTATGATTTACTAATCAGTCAACATTAGATTATGATAATCACTATGAATCTAATTTATACAGTATTATTATTCGTACATTAAGACAATGCTTGGATGATGATGATCAAAATAATCAAAATATTAACTAAAGACATATTTTATTATATTCATTTAAATAAAAAGAAAGAATTAAAATAAGAATATGTCGTCGTACTTTTGCTGCATTATATAAAATTCAACATTTTATAATTAAAGTTCATATGATTTATTTTTTGTTAACTAAAACTAACTCAAATTAAGTGAAATTATCAAAATCTGTGTTTAGTTTAGTGAACTGCAAAATATTGAAAATGAACAATTTGAAAATAAAATAATAGCATGCTTAAGCTCAAAGCCGTTCTCATCAAAATCAGTCAATTTGGTTTTTACAAGAATATTATAGACTTAAAACTGAATATCTTTATATTAATTCATAAAGGTATGAAGATTTTAAGAAGGATATTCTCTTTCAAGAATATTGAATAAACAGAACAAATCTTAACATTTATTGCATTCCAATTTTGTTTCAATGAAATATTTACATAGGAAGCATTGCACGTAAGCCACGACCAACGTTGCTCAGTCTATCTCACCGATTTAGCTGATATTTTTACATTATGTAGGTCTAAGAGTCTTAGAAAGAAACTGAAAATTTCAGCTCAAACGGATGAGCTGTTTTGAAGATATAGACGATACAAGTATGACAGGGTGGGTCCCATTTGGAGTACTTTATAGTGCAATACTTTCCAGTAAATCTCTATTATTTCGAGAAGAACAAGAGATATCACTGAGATTTTTTTACCATAAATACTACCGACGATGAGCTATATTTTTATGGTAATAAAAGTATCTCATCACTGGATGATTTTTGCGTAGCATTATATATTATTTTCAGAAAACGTCCTCACGTAGATATGGCAAGTTGGTCAAATCAGCGCTCTAGAATAAATCGAGAGTAGTCTCATCTGAAAGAGCACATCAAAATGCATCGACTGACGTTTTCAGAATTTTGTGGTATTGAACTTTCGTAGCAAAACTTTTTTGAACAAGATTAGAAAGGCCGAATTTGGGGCCCAATTCTAACTATAAAGATTGGTGATTTTCTTCCAAATGATCGATTTAATTGTTTGAGATGAAAGCCCATGCCACGAAACCTCTAAATTAAAAGTTTCAGCTCATTTGAAGTTATCTGTGAAAAATGGTGAAACATTCATTTTTGTGAAATATCATAGGATAGCATGTATAGTCCGCCTAATTTTTCAGTTATTCATATTTCAGTTAAATTGCAA